TTTTTTTTTTTTTTTTTTTTTTCCCCTCCTGAAGCTGAAGCATGATTTACCTTTCCAGAGATCTCAAGGAAGAGCAATTAAGCTATTTAAATTATCAGAGAAGAAATATGTGCTTAGTGTTTAAACACTAGTGATTTTTTCCTAAAGAATTTAAACCACATATGTTTTCAACATATCTGAGAATCGGGGCACACGTGGAATTGTTTGTTTGGTTTATTTTCTTAATAATTAATAACTATACTATATGTCTCCTTAGCATATAGCTGCTTCTTTAGAGTCATTAGCTAGAGAAGTACAGAAACATGAAGATTATAGTGAGGAAGAAAGGATCTGGTGGGTGTCGCCCCTGAGCACATCTGACAAAGCTTTAGAAAAACCATCTTGCCATTTATGTTAGTTTGAGGTGGAAGGATTATATGCTGATTTTATGGGAAAAAATGGGCATTTTAATAATGCCATTGTAACAATTCACTTTCCTGAAACACCTACCAGGATATGTTAAAAAGACTGTTGTAGAACAACATACTTCATAATTTCTACACAATTTATGTAGCTCATGAACTTCTGTACCAGTTTGTCTGTAGGTCAGGTTTCTATGCTACTGCCTTGAATGATTTTGACGCTGTACACTTTTCAATTATCAGACTTTATTACACAGATGTCATACTCTTAAGCTTTTTGCTGTTAAATTACATAGATAATATAATTCTGTAGGTCGTTTGTAATCTACTTATATGGCTTTGCAGAAAGTCATCTGTGAACTGCTGATTTAAGAGTGTAGGATCACAAGTTTTTAACCATTGATAATAGGAGATGCATGCTTGCTTCCTCGTGTCTTTTTTTTTTTAATGCTGAGCATCTATCTAACCTGTTGCCTAGGTATTTTAGAAAGTTTGTGCCTAAGTATTGACTTCCAAAGGTGCAGTAGGTCATGTTAGAGCCTTAAGGTGGCTTCAGTTTTCAGTGCTGACTTAAAACCGATTTGACAATCTTTAACTAGTTTATTGTCTATGTTAGTTATGTTGTACTGGCTCTGTGCTCCATTTCTTGAGATTTGGGGTTTTTTCCGCTGTTGCTTCTCATCCTTGTCCTTCATAACAACTGCCTTATCCAGGGAGTAGGATGGATACACAAAGGAGAAGAGTTGTGGCGTTAGCTGTGAAAACTATCTGGTTTTTCTTATTTTTGAGTACTTGATTCTTTAGTACAAATAACAGCATGTTGGTGTAGTCTCTTGATCATGTGTGTCAAGAGACATTTAAAATTAATTTGCTTGATGAAAAGCAAAGCGAGTGTCCGTATTTACGTTTTAAAAAATGTTGTGAAACTAGGATATTGTGGCTGTATATCTGGGGAAAATTAAATGTGATATAAAATATTTAATCTTCAATATTTTAAAAATATGCACTGAGATAAAGTGTAATTGGCTTTATTAAAATACCATTCATGCAAGTATTGCTCTATTAAGTGGAAGCAGATATTTTAAAGTATATAAATCCTTGCTTTCATCTTTGGTTTTGGTTTCTATGTGGTGTATTTGTAGTGTCTGAAATTAAGAAAGGGTTTGAAATGTAATACTTGTGCAGAGAGCAAAAAATAAGCAAACAGAAGCCCCACTTCCATAATAAGTAGGAATGAGGTGTTACACTTGTTTTCCATGTTGTATGCATCAGTTGTGTTGCATCATTATTGAAAGAGAATTAAAAGATCCTTATGAAATTATGTAAGCAGTGGGCAGATAACTGAGAGCAAAAATAACTAATGCTCTAAAAAAATATTTTCAACTGTCTTTAGAAATCAACATTTATGTGCTGCACATTAACTGATTTTTCTGTGTTGACCTTTGCTTTTATTAGAAAGCATATTGCTTCTGGTAGTAAAACTGGATTTCTGTTACTGTATGTCTCAAGGCAGAACTAGTATTTCCTTTGGTTTTAGAATTTATCCAGATGAACTATCCTGAACTTTCTTACCGAATAATTAAATGCA